CCAAAACTAGACTGAAGAACAAAAGGACAGCAACTTGTCTGTTCCCCTTCCCCCAATTCCCCAGTGCTGTTCCCATCCCCCAATTCCCCAATTTAAAAAAAAAAAAAAGAAAAAAAGAATGTAAGCTCTGAGCAACAGGGTTGCCAGTTCGATTCCCACATGGGCCAGTGAGCTGCTCCCAAGCTGAGCTATCGCTGAGCTGTGAACAGGTGGCAGGATGGCTCAGCTGGTGAGAGCACGTGCTCCTAACAACAAGGTTGGCAGTTCAACTCCCGCATGGGACGGTGCCCACCTGCAACTAAGATTGAACACGGCACCTTGAGCTGAGCGGCCATGAGCTGCCGACGGGCAGCCAGATGGCGACTGGACTTGGAGCTGAGCTAGCTGCGCCCTCCACAACTCAGACTGAAGGACAGCAACTTGGCTCTTCCCCTTCCCCAATAAAATCTTTTTAAAAAGAAAATAAAAAATAACATTTCAAACCAGCTCACACATCTGTCAGCAGGGAATGGATTAAACACACGACAATCCCCTCACATGACAGAACACTACACAACCATTAAGAAGAGTAAGATGGGTTTGTGTGTGTCATTTGGAAAAACTGCCAAGATAAATTGTTGGGTAAAAAAGGCAAGTCAAAGCAGAGGGGGAAAAAAATCCACAGCACTTGTAAGAGAAAACTTAAACATGATGGAAAAGACTATTTTTAAGAAGTTCAGAAACAACCCAATTATTACCTGTAGCTGTCTCTGGGGATGGGACTACAGGGCACTCACTCTCGCCCGACATTTCCATATTATTTGAAGTTTGGAGGGGCTTTATTTTAAAATAAGCAGGTATAACTTTTGTACTCAGAATCACAAAGATAGACTGTTTAGTTTTTAAAGTGTTTCCTGTAAGCTGCATATGGGCTGTGTGGACACCAAGTTTGGACAAGAACATTTCTATGGCTAATGTTGTGCAGAGAGACGCTCAAGCACCACAGCCACCATATAGGATCTGACCCCTAGACTATGGAGGAGTATATACGTCCTGTTTTGATCAGCTACTGGACAGGGGACATGGGAGGGTGTGGCAGACACAGGCGGCACCTTTTCACTGTGATGTGTGGTTGCTAGAGCAACCAGGCCCAAGAAGTTACTGTGTCCCATGTTTAAAATGGAATTCGACAAAGCCTTACGTGCTTGTCTAATGGAGAGTCCACCGCAAAGTGGGGGAGGCAGCTAATACGACAGAGAACAGAGCAGGATTACAAAAGCAGATAGGAATGGTGGGCCCAGAGTTCACTCTTCTCCCAGGCTCTGTGCCTCCCTCTGGGAATAGCACAGGATGAAAATGAGGACTGCTTTTCTTTGAAGCCACACCTTCAGGTTAAAAATGAAACTGTTAACTGCTCTATATCCTGACTGTGGGGGTGGTACCTGAGTCTACATTTGTCAAAACACTGAGCCAAGCACACACTCACTCCTCTGGCTACCCACTGTCCCCAGTCCACATAATAGCTGCCCTGGAAGGGATCACAAAAACAGAAGTCAGGAGCGTGAGATTTTGAAGCCCCGGTATGTGGGGAATAAACATCACTGTATCTGCCACCACTGTGACAGCACCCTCTGCACTCTGCCAGCATCTCTCAAAGTGGAGCCCTACATGCAAACCCTCCAGGTAGCACCGGCTGACTCCCTCCTGGCAGCCCCAGCCTTCACTGAAGGGCACTCAGGTTCATCGGCTTTTGCAGTAGCTCGGCCACTAACTCCTACTGATCTCTACAATGAGCCATGACCCCAAGTCCTTCGAGTTCCTGTTTGGCCCTATCTACATGGCCCTTTATAAACCTAACATGCATGTTTACAAATGTTTCCCTGTTTAAAACTCAAGTCTCATTTAGGTTGGCCCCATAGGTCAACCCATCTAGACCGCCAAGGATTCTGAGCGGTAGCTAACCTGCCTGCTGTTGACTTCCTCCTAGCTTCCATCTCTCCCTGCATCTACTCACCATGACAACAGTCCTCAGCAGAGAACACTGAGTGGGTCAGGAGGTGGAGCACAAGCTCCTGAGGCCTCTATTTGGATGGAGCTGATCCATGGGGCAGCCACTCATGGGAGTTCGGACCCCACCCAACAACAGGTATGCCAGCGCCTACCTGGCCCACACTTCAGCATCTGATCCAGAAGAATTGAATATGTGCCTGGCAATCATTCTACTGAAAATCCATACACTAGCTCAACAGAAGGCACAGGCAGACTGAGAGAACTGGCTCTCTAGGAATTCACAGTAGTTGTCAACGATGCCTCTTTTCTCTGAAAGCACACAAGCTTTTCTTTCTAGACCATGGCTTGAGAACGGTCAGACTCTCCCATTCTAGTTACTGCCGCACCTACCCTCTCCCTCCTTTGAAAACTGGATGCTTGCCTGTCTGAAGTCTTCCAGAATCTGTCTGGCCCTGTAATAAATTCCTCAAGGAACAGCCAATTCCATCTGCAAACAATCACAAGAGCCTCTAGACAGAATGTCATCAAGTCCAACTGGAAGTCATTTAGAGAAGCTGGACACTCCAGTGTACCTTCGCCCTCTTGGGATTTCAATCCTCTCATAGACCCAATGCTTCCTTGACCCTTGACCTTCTGCCCGCCATTCCTTCCTGGACACAGAATCATCAAGGGGACTATCTTCTCCCCAGGTCCTACCATGTTTCACAGTCCGGAGCTCACTGCAGGCTTTCACTTTCCCAATACTATTCTGAAGCTCTGCACGCTCTTCTGGGACAGTCCTTCCTTTTATTCCTGTCCTTCCTATCTTTCAGATGAGAGCTGAGCTGGCCGAGGAGCCCTGAGCGCCTCTGTGGTCCCTCACAATGTGGTGTCATTGTGTCCTCCCACCCTTCAGCCCTTGTGCAGGTAGACTCGGAATCATGGTTTTGATACCTGGTCCCCCAGACCTGTCTCCCTTTCAGTCTCAGCCCACAAGATCGTCTTCTTTTACAGAGCTTCCTAAAACCCAGAATTCTAGGGTCTGAGTTCGACTCCTCCCAGCCTTCTCACTTTCTGAGTCTATGGTCAGACAGCTCACCTTGAAGAGCTATCTGCCTTTTCCAGCGCTACCCCCACCACTTTCCAACTTTGACCCAGAGAGGGTAGGCTCACCTGGACCACTGACTTTTTTCCTGAAAAACTGAAACCCAGATAGGTAGTCATTCTAATGCCTGGTGAAGAAGGATCTCCAGGTGACAAGAGGTGGGCGCGCCCAGCCCAAGGATCCACATGCTCACCCTGCTTCTGAGTAACCTCACGGTGAGCCTCTTCCCAATACTCCAGAAGCCCTTGGTCTGAGCACAACGTCTACCCTCTGCCAGTCAGCACACTTGAGAACAGCCAGGCCCCCAATCTGAACCCCTGTGAACAAGGGGCAGTAAATCTGCCCTGAGTTCAAACAGGTGCTTTCTATCAGTCTAGTCTTGCCCAACTAGCCACCCCCTGGGCCCTGATCAAGGCATTCAGTCTTACCAAAAACAAAACAAAACAAACAAACAAACAAAACCAACCCAGAAATACTCATACTGCCATGGAACACAATTATGCTCCTGTGACGGGTCTACCGTCTGGGAAGGCCCAGGGCACAGGGTTGGTCTCAGCCCCGCTCGTGCCACTTCCATCCACTCTTCTCAGAGCAGGACCCCATACACAAAAACCCCGTTTAATTAGTCCCTTTTAAGCTGAACTCCAAAGGGCCTCTCCCAGAGTAAGGAAACGCCTCATCCTTTACTTCACGCTAGGTACATAAAGCGAGCTCCTAAAACAGCATGTGGCCAGTTATGACAGAATCAGAAATCAGGTCTTCTGACCTCCTGGTCAGTCCTTTCCCACTCTCCACGCTGCCTCTGGAGATAAGGGGGGAACTGGAGGCCTCTGGGGAAGCTGTGTGGCTCCCTAACACACAGACAGGGCTCCGGTTCAAGGCCAAAGACTGAGAAATCAAAGTCACAAGCTAACCCAGGGGGTCCACTCACAGCCCCTCACCCCACCCCACTCACAAGGACAGCAGCAAGGAAAAGCCGGCAATGTAGAGATTCCTTTGGGCACGGAAAAGCTTCATGTGGAAGTGTTCCATGGCCCCAGGGTTGTTCTGCATGTTCACCTTCTCTGTCACGTCATCGTACTTCCGGATCTCACGGAAAGCATCTACAGTGGAGCAGAGAGGAGAGAGAGTTTAGCTCCCGCTTAGACAAGTCCAGCTATGCAGCTGGGACAGGCGGTCTGAGTTGGGGTGGCCTTGCTTCCCTCAAACCATCTCCCATTCATTATTGCCCCTTCTAGACACACCTGGGGGGATGCCTGTCAGAGCTCTGCCCTCAGACCCTCTCTCTCCTGCAGCTTTTCTCACATCCCTCACTGGCCCCATTCCACCCAGACCCACAAGTTTGCTCTCTGTTGTCAAGATGCTAACCAAGTCTGAGGCATTGCTGACCGGAGCAGCTCCCCTTTCCCATGGTCCCCCCTAATGTCTGGTTCTGTTTATCTCAAGTTGGGCTGGCTGTCCACCACCATACGGATAAGCCAGTCCTGTTTATGGAAATGCCTGCTAAGGAGGCACGAGCTGCCTAAGAGGCAAGAACCAGAGGAGGCCTGCTCAAGATTAAAAGGGTTTTCATTTCTAAGCTTTATAACGGGCTTTGTTGTTTAAACTGTTTTATTCACTTTATAAAAGGAATTTGTGCTCATCAAAAGCTCAAACATTCCAGGGCCGGCCGAGTGGCGCGTTGGTTAAGAGCTGGCTTGGGACACTAGAGGGCCCCGGTTCGGATCCCACATGAGGGCCAGTGACACTGCCCTCCACAGCTAAGATGCTGAACAACAGCTCAACCTGCAGCTGGGCTGCCCTAAGTCGCCGTCCATGGCGTAGGCTGAAGCCCCTGCTGCAGTGGGTTGCCATGGGCTACCGTGTGTGGCCAGCAGCCAGCGTGAGTGGCCAGCAGCCGCAGTGAGCAGCCGTCCAGAAGCCAGCGACTGATCTGCCTCGCCCAGGAAGAGTGCAATGATGGTGCCAACTTGGGCCAGTGAAGCAATGTCCTCCACAACTAGACTGAAGAACAAAAGGACAGCAACTTGTCTGTTCCCCTTCCCCCCAATTCCCCAGCGCTGTTCCCATCCCCCAATTCCCCAATAAAAATCTTTAAAAAAAAAAAAAAGCTCAAACATTCCAGAAATGTAGAAGAAGAAAGAATCTCATAACATAATCACCTCTAGCAGGTACAGAATATGTGGCCATCCTATCTCAAGCAGTCACTTTCGGTCACATTACCCTATGTTATTTTCCTGGTAATCCACACCCTCTATCTGAAATTACCCTAATTACAGGTTTATTGTCCACCTCCCCAAAATTAGATTACAAACTCCATGAGAAAAGAAATCTTTTCTACTATATCCCCAGGGCCTAGCACAGTTCTGGGCACACAAGGGCATGCAAATAACTGTTGAATGGTTAACAGCCTCTGCTCCTCTGAGAGCTGCTGTTAGACATACAGTACTGTAGCTTACACATATTTTTACATCTACACATCTGTAAAGTAGAACTGGAACCATCCCATACCTAGTACTTTCTCCCCACCCACAAGACATCTCTTTAAGTCAGTTCATAAAGACCGACCTAAAGAAAGCCATTAATAGACTCCCATAGAAGAGGAGCAAGGTATCACTATATGGGTATCATTTGGACCTTAACTCCTGGTTTGACACTGCTTGGTTTTTAAGCTTATCTTACACTGTAAAAATCTGCCTCTCCTTACCAGTGCCTTTGTGTTAAATCTGTTTCATGAAGTGAGCACTCTCCAACACTATTAGCAGGCATATAAAATGGGCAACTCACCTGTTTGCTATGGACTGCATGTTCCTGTCCCCCAACATTCCTATGTGGAATCCTAACCCCCAATGGGGTGGTATTAGGAGGTGGGGCCTTTGGAAGGGGAGTAGGTCATAAGTGCAAGGCCCTCAAGAATGGGATTAGTGCCCTTATTAAAGGGACCCCCAAAAAGCACCGTCACCCCCCTTTTCCCATGTGAGGACACAGCAAGAAGGCAGTCATCTGGAACCAAACCCACAATATCTCTTAGGTATGCCTATAAAGTCGGCCTTCTGTATCCGTGTGGTTTTGCATCTGTGGTATCAACTAAACATGGATCAAAAATATTTGGAAAAAAAATTTACATTGCTGCTGATGTGTATTATATACTTAGGCCTATTACGGCTTTCCTGTACTGAACGTGTACTTTTTTTCCCTTGTCATTATGCCCTAAACAATACAGTATAATAACTATTTACATAGCATTACGTGTATTACATAAGTAATCTAGAGATGATTTAAAGCGTATGGGAAGAAATGCATAGGTTATATGCAAATACCACACCATTTTCCATAAGAGACTGAGTGTGCATCCACAGATTTTGGTATTCACAGGCATCCTGGAACCAATCCCCCACGGATCCCAAAGGACTAGACTATACAGTCTTTAAAAAGAATGAGACTGCTGTAAAAGGATGTCTAAGACACAGTAAGTGCAAAAATGCACAATCCAAAACTGTGTAGTATATTAATAAAGATGTCAGCATACAAAATGCCTATGGAAATACACAATGAAGCATTAATGATGGGTATCAGAGACCTGGGATGATGGGGGTCTTTAACTTTCTAGATTAAATTTTTTAATTTTAAGAAATGTTATTTTTGTGATTAAAAAAACATGTTTTTCTACACAGTCATCTGTATCCAGGAACCCCATCACCTTAAGGACCACCTTGGCCAAAGGCAAAGAGCAGATTGGGGATGAAGGTGTTACGCCATACTAGCGCAAGTCACACAGCAGAGTGCTGCCCTCCCTATCTCAGGCATCTGGCCCAGGGCAGCTGACCCTAGACCCTCATCGCCCACTCTCTCCCGTTATATCTGCCTTAGGCCCCTTCCAGTGAAGAGTAGGAGCCAGCCAGGACTGCAGCTCTAGCTGGTATGCCCATTACCCTTCCCTAGTATTTGCTACTAACATATTTGTAGAAGCCACTGCCATTGGGCTGTCGGAAAAGTCATGATGTATTTTTCTGTTTTTCGGTGCAAAAATGCGTCATGACTTTTCCGACAATCCAATAGATTAGAAGCTGCCTCTCTAGATTACGTTTCTTACCATTAGGGTAGGAAGCTGCCTGTCATCATAGTCAGATGTCTCTTTAAAACTTTCGAGCAGTTCCCTGACTTCAAAAAAGAATGGTGCCTTTGCTAACTATTTGGTTCTGCAAAGGCCTCCCTGGCCCAATCAGTTGCGCTAGGAAATGGAGAGCTTGTGGAGTCTGGTTTGCAGAGGGACAAGGGAATACCCCCAGCAGAGTCCTTCCCTGCCCCAATTCTCACCCCACCCTACATTCAAAACCAAAAGCACATGAAAAGCCTGGCTTTTTGTGCTCAGGGGAGGATGTGTATATTCTCTACCCCCCCCCCTGCAGGGTCATTGGCTGCTCAGGGAGAGGACCCTGATTGAAAAAGAGTTACCTCTCAGAGCCTTGCCAAGTATTTCAACAGCAAGGTATGCAGGCAGCTGGCACCCACCCTACAAGGCTACAAATAGGTAGGCAGCACGTGGTCTCTTCAGAAGCAGTCGTGCCTGGACATATCTCATCAGGCCCCAAAACATGAGGAAGGAGAAATGCCTCAAGCTGCAGCTAGTGGGTGGAGCCCTGCAAGTTCCCCTAAACTGGTGCCCTGGCCTCCCATCCCATGCAGAGTTTCTGCTGGGGATTAGGGAGAGGAGTGCTCTAAGCTTAAGCAACCATCACACCTTGGAGATAGGACTGCTGTCTGTAGCAGGGCCAAGCCAATACTTTGGAGTCCAAGCAGGGGGACATATCGATCACTAACCACAGCAAAACACATTTAACAGCCAGACGAGAGCTGCACTAACAATTCTGGTCTCTGAACAATCACGCCATCACCACGTCGCAAAATGTTTGCCTTCCATCTTTGCACCATCTCGTCCTAGGCCCCATCCCTGAGAAGGCCATGGGACCAGTTTATCTTTCAAGCCCCTGCTGGTATGCACCTCAATGAGCAGTTTATAGAACTTCAGAGCTGGAAGGACCTGAAAAGACTTGCAGTTTGACCCAGGTCCACAGAGGTCTGGGATCACTCCCTCGATATGCTGCCAGACCTCTTGGTCCCCTCTATACTACAGGACATGGCAGTTCCCTTCCCAGCTAGGCTTCTTGTGTACTTGGTCACTCAGTCCCCTATTTGTGGCCTATTTGAGGCATCGAGAGGGAGACTGATGCTGCTAAGTGACTTGAGGGTGGTACTACTTAGACCAAGGTCAGCATGGGCCAGTTAGCTTCTCTTAGTTTCAGTGCTGGAACGACCCGAGGAGCTGCCCCTAAGACATGAGGTGGTCCTCACAGGGTCCACAGAGACTGCTGGTCAAAGTGACCCTGCCAGCAGTGCCCCCTTCATGGATGAAGAGAGCCTCTTCTCCAAGAGAAAAACAGTGGCTATCTTAAGTGGTCTGTCTCTGAGAAGCCAAAGCTGCACACTACATGTGAAACATGGCAAAAGGTCTACGTCAGGTAGCTGCCCTCAGCCACAGCTCACTCACCAATGAGCAGCAGCACAAGGATGACAATGAGAACCACAAAGAAGGTGTTGCCATAAGTCACCACCAACTCCACCAGGCGGGACTTGAAAATCTTCTGCCATCTGTGAAGAAAACAAAAAGGACAGGGGCTGAAGAGAAAGAACACACACTTGAGGTCTGCGCCTTGAGAAGAGAAATCCAGTTTTGCAGTCTTCTCCAGTGGCCAAATATCCCATACAGAGTCAGCCTCAGCTGCTTGCAATTTTCCAATTTGTGACATTCCCTCAAGAGTGTTTAAAAAAGATGCTTGTCCATGTGTAGAAATTTATAGAAAACCAGTCTTAAACACTGGTAGTCTCTGAGGAAAGAAATGGGAAACTTAATTTCCATTATATTCCCCTATGTAGTATTCAAAATGCTTGCCACATACACATTATTTCTTTGTTTTTCCATGTGACCAATCTTGGTTCATCTAGAAGCAGATCTAGAAGCAGATCTGACCTCCCTTCACTTCCTTCCACAAATACTTCAGAATGTAGCTCTATCAGAGACGAACCTTCGGAAATGGTTAATGTAATCACAATGCCATCACCAAACCTCAAGAAAATCAGTAAGAATCCATCTTTATCAGAGTCAGAATCCCAGAGTCCAATTGTTGCATTTTTTAATAGCTGGTTTGTTTGACTCCATACTGACCAGGTTCTGAGTCTGCAATGAGTTGAGGAGTATCTTAAATCTCTCATTCTATAAGCTCCCCCATCCTACACCCTCTTTGGTTTGCTTTCCCAATTTACTTTTTGCAGACAAGTTGTTTGTTCTATAAAGCTTCCCAGACTGCAGCTCCAAAGGGTCTTCTGTCTCTGCCATTTCCTCCCAACTGTACGAGCTGTGAAGATTCAGCTCTGGCTTTTGGCAAGAATGGTCCTTCGACAGTGCTGTATACTTCTACTGTATCACATCAGGCGTCTATATTTTTCATTAAAAACAGTTTTTCAAAGTGTCCGTGGAGACTCAGTCTTATCGGTAATGTTCTATTTTAAGTCAGAACAATGTGCTCATGTATATTATATGTAATTAAAAATTAATGTCCAATTAACTTTTAAGAGGCCCTCTGTCCACTGAAAGGGACTATTGCTTCACCCCTCACAAGCTGAGTAATGCTCATGAGGCTACTGCACAATGCCAGTGAGACTAGTTAGGAGGACAGAAGTCACCAAATCAGCAACATGACCCCGTGGTGCAAGTCTTCCGGATCCCACACTGCCATCCCCTGAACCTCAGGGACCCAAGGGAAGGCAGGAGGGCATCATTCCCAGAACCGTAATCAGAGCTAGGTCTTCTCCCCTTTGGGGCATTCTGAAGACCAGAAGACCGGGTACACAGTAAAGGAACTCGGCAAGATGTGACAAAGCAGAATGGTGTGGAAGGTTGGCAGTAGTAAACACAACCCCTGCCACCCCCACCCCAGACAGGTTCTACTTGTTTCTGTCTGGCCCCATTTCCAGGGTCCACCAACCTTGCACACATAAGCTACAGAGCTCAGCAAGTCACCCTCTTACTTGCTTGCCTCCTTCCTCCACAGGCCATACCTTTTGGGTGAAATGAAGGGAATGCAGAGAAGCAGCACAGCAAAGACCTCTGCATAGAGGAAGGTGGCAACTGCAGTCCACTGCAGACTCATCCTGTTGCTAGGTTTCCAACAGGGAGATGTGAGCTTGTTTCCTGACAGGGCACAGAAGGAGGAGTCATGAGAGATGGACAGCTAAGCTACCCTCTACCCCAGCACTCTACTTCAGGGTCTTTAAAGCACTGGCTGAAACAGGGCTCAACTCCGCAGGGAGACTTGACAATGGTGCTCAAATGCTGGACCGACTCCCACTTGAAGGGGCGGAGTTACTTTGCTGCTCCCTAGCAAGTGTGTTAACACGTCCGTCCAGAGCCACCTTTTCTGGACAATTCCTTTCCCCGTGCAGTCCAAGAGACTCCTTATGCCCGTTTAAGTGAGAACGCATTTTTAATAAAGATTACGTAGACAGAAGGAAATTCTCAACATCCATCAGGCCCGTTCCCCTCCTAGCCACGGGGAGCTCTGCGGCAGAGGCTCCCAGCTCCTAGGCATCCCAGAGGCGGCAGTATTTCAGTAACGCACTTTCTCCAAAAGCCGAGGTGCCCCCACTCCTCCCGCCCCGGGGAAAACAGGAGGCCCTTCCCTTCCAGCCCTTTCCAACGGGGCTGAGAGAAAACCAGCAGCTCCCTCTAGGGCTAGAGCGGAGGCTAAAAGGCCTTCCGACTGCTGCGTCTGCCTCCGATGGGGCCGGAGAACTAGAAGTACCTCAAAAAGCCCACAAGAGCGACTCCTAGAGGGCGGGAATCAGGGCCAGGAGCAAATGCAGGTCTCCACTAAGCACCTCACGGGCCCATCTAGAGAAAGTTCTAGAAGAAGCTGTCTCCTCAGAAGCCAGAGGAGCCCCTCCCGGCAGCCCTAGTCGGTCACAGCTCCCACCTGGCTCGGGAACCCCCACGTGCGAGCCCCCGACGTGGCCCTGGCCCGGCACGCCCTCCCCAAATCCCACCACCAGCGGCTCCTCCGGAGGGCCTTCGCCACCTCCCCCCTCGGCCGGCCCTGATGCCGCCAGAGCCCAGCTCCACCCGCCGCCACTCCGACTTTCCCCAGCCCGCCCCTGCCTCCGCACTCCCGGCTCAGCCCTCAGCCCCGCGCCCTCGGAACTCTCGGCGTTGCCCGCCGCTCCCTGTCGTCGAGGAGCTGGGAGACCTCGGCGGCCCCCGAGCCCACCCTGGCGTGCGGCCCGGCTCACCAAGAGCTTTCCACAGACACCACGAACGCCCAGCCGCTGCCGCCAAACTCTCCCACTCCGGCCTTGGCCCCACCCCTTCCCCCGCAGCCGGAAACCGGAAGCGCTCGCAGGGCCTTGCCCCTCCCCCAACCGAAGAGAGGACCCGAAGGCTCCGCCCACGGCCGCTTTCCACCCCGCCTCCCCGCTCCGAGGCGCCAACGCCCAGGACTGGAGAAGAAGCGGCGCTTTGGGCGCGCAGGGAGGCGGGGCGGGGCCTTGGCGGGAACACGAGGGACCGCTTCTCTAGCCCTCGCGGTCCTCCCACATCTCTGTGGTCTGGGGAGGGGGCGGGGCCCAACCGTGGGGCAAGAAGGGGGTGGGGAGCTTTGCGCCCGAGCTCCGCCTCCCGCCCCTCCTCCGCCTCCTCCCCTTCCCCTGACTCGCCCCTGAGGAGGGCTGGGTGGGTGGGGATTCTGGGCGAGTGGCGGAGTCACTCTCGCTTCAGCCAGGCTTCGGAGAGGACGGACGTGCCTGGTGTCCCGGGGAGGGGCGCCACCAGGGGAGGAGGAGGAGGAGGAGGAGGTGGAGAGGAAGAGACGCCCTCTCTGTCCGAGCCCTCTGGAGGCTCTGACCCTAGGGACTAGGAGACTGACAAGTTCCTCCACCTCGTCTGCCTGAAGAGGCCGCGACCCTGGAGGGATCTGAGCACCAGGGGCGCCCCAGTGGCCTAGAGCAACAGTCTCAGGGACCACTGCAAGGTTTCCAGTTGCCTAGATAACGAGCCGGGGTCAGAGCAACAACTCTTCTAGCCACCTGCCTGGACTGCTGGCTCAGGCACCAGTCCCAGCCCGTGCGTCCAGCCCAGGTGACATGCCGGTGCTCTCCACCCCCCGGCCCTCGCGGGTGACCACACTGAAGCGCACAGCTGTGGTCCTGGCCCTCACGGCCTATGGAGCCCACAAAATCTACCCCCTGGTGCGGCAGTGCCTGGCTCCGGCCAGGGCCCCTCAGGTGCCTGCAGGGGAGTCCACACAGGAGGCCTCCGGGGCCACAGTGGCCGCAGCAGCCAAGGCCGGTGTGAACCGGGTGTTCTTGCAGCGACTCTTGTGGCTCCTGAGGCTGCTCTTCCCCAGGATCCTGTGTCGGGAGACGGGGCTGCTGGCACTGCATTCGGCCGCCCTGGTCAGCCGGACTTTCCTGTCAGTATATGTGGCCCGCCTGGATGGACGGCTGGCCCGCTGCATCGTACGAAAGGACCCCCAGGCCTTTGGCTGGCAGCTCCTGCAATGGCTCCTCATCGCCCTCCCAGCCACCTTCATCAACAGTGCCATCCGCTACCTGGAGGGCCAGCTGGCACTGTCTTTCCGCAGCCGTCTAGTGGCCCATGCCTACAGCCTCTACTTCTCCCAGCAGACCTACTACAGAGTCAGCAACATGGACGGGCGGCTTCGCAACCCTGACCAGTCCCTGACAGAAGATGTGGTGGCCTTTGCTGCCTCTGTGGCCCACCTCTACTCCAACCTGACCAAGCCGCTCCTGGATGTGGCCGTGACGGCCTACACCCTTCTTCAAACGGCCCGCTCCCGTGGGGCTGGAACGGCCTGGCCCTCGGCCATTGCTGGTCTCGTGGTATTCCTCACAGCTAACGTGCTACGAGCCTTCTCACCCAAGTTTGGGGACCTGGTGGCAGAGGAGGCACGGCGGAAGGGGGAGCTGCGCTACATGCACTCTCGAGTGGTGGCCAATTCAGAGGAGATCGCCTTCTATGGGGGCCATGAGGTGGGGCAGGTTGGGGTGCTGAGCATGGAGGAAAGCATGTGGCTGGGAAGCCCGGGGGCAGGCAGCTGTGAATGGCAGAGAAAACCCAGGGCTGGCTAGTGTTGATGCCAGAGGTGTGGGCAGACCATGGGAGAGGGACCCTGGGGGTGACCAGGGCCTTGGGCAGCCCAGACTTAGGCACAGAAATGAAGAAGCAGGAAGACTGGGTGGGGACTGCCCTGGGCTGGCTGCCTACATGCTCCAGGCCACTTCTGCTTCCTTTCCTCCTGGGTGAGGTTGTCCTGGCCTTGGAGTTGCAGATCCTAGCGGTTTGAGATGCTAGAGCTCCCGGCTCGCCCCATTCCTGCAGCCAGCCGCCCCATCCCTGCAGCCAGCAGGGAGGAGGCTCCTGCTGTCTCAGAGCAGGGATGGTGGGACGTGGCCTGCTGCCCGGTCCCTCCTGGGCCCCAAGGCCCTTTGAAGACCAGCGTCCAGCAGAACTGGCCGGCCAGGCAGACAGGCATTATGGGCATGACTCAGCCCAAGCGGAGGTTTACGAGCAGCACCCAGCGTGGTGGCCGCAGCAGTGGTGGCACTTGGAGCTCCTGCTCAATGGCACCCCTGCCTGAGCCCGCGGGCCAGCCAGGCTGCCGGCTCGGCTGCCTCCCGGAGGCCCCGAGCCAGGGATGCTGGGCCCGGCCGCTGCCACTGCGGCGGGACGCACTTCCTGCCCGCCCAGCAGCCACCCTGCCCCCGGCGTGGCCGCCCTTCCGCCTGGATCCCGGGGCTCAGCTACCCAGTGGGCCAGGGCCGGGCCGCGGCGGCCGGCAGGGCAGGGAGCCTGGTGCTGGGAAAGGTTACTCCAGGCCAGTGCTCCCTTTATCTCGCCCCAGCCCCTCCCCTTCCTCGTGCCTGGGGTTGCAGCTGCCTCCGGCCCTGCTCCCTGCAACTCTGGTTTCGGTTCCAAGTGCTTCTCGGGGGAGGGGCACAATGGCATCCACCTCCTGAAGGCCTGTGTGTCCTCGCTGGGTCAGGTGGCCTCTTGCTCCTGGACCTTGTCTCACTGGTTGCGCATCGGGCTCCAGATTAGGAGAAAAAGTGCCTGGTGTGCAGCCACAACCCCCTCTCATTCTGTCGCGCAAGCCGGGCCGCAGGGCCTTGGCAGGCAGCCGTGGCCTTGGGTGAGGCGCTTGGCACATTACCCGCAGCTACATTGTCTGCCCCAGCTGGCACGCCTGCCAGCTCCCAGCACGAGTCAGGATTGTCAGGGTGCTCACAGGAGGCGTGCTCACTTCAGGAACACAGGATTGGGCTTGAGGCAGAGCCGTGCCATGTGGAGGACCTGTATAATGAGAGCAGAAGAGAGATCACTGGCTCTTTGAAGGACTTCCTCTGGGCTAGCTTCAGGAAACAGCATGTTCGCCAGGAGGATTTGCTGGCAGTGGGTGGGCGGGAACCCCAGTGTGCATCCATGGCCTATCTCTTTAGGCTCTTTAGGCCTTAGCCAAAGTGCTGAAAAACAGCGTGAGGTGACAGGCCCCCATGGATGGGTTGATGGCCCTTACTGTGCAGGCATGTGGCTCACCCCAGTCCCCCTGGTTGATGTACCCGTGGATGCTGGCCCAGGCTCAGACCAACAGGTTAGGGCAGAAGTGCTTGGCTAGCTGGCAGGCAGACAGCAGAGTATTCTGTTCTTACTGAGATTTCAATGAGGAGGGTTCTTTAGACACATGCACACACACATATACACACATACAACCTCTTGTTGGCTTGAGAGCAAGGTAAACCTTTCTTTTTTTTTTAAAGATTTTATTGGGGAATTGGGGGATGAGAACAGCATTGGGGAATCAGGGAAGGGGAACACACAGGTAGAAAAATTGCTGTTTTGTTCTTCAGTCTAGTTGTGGAGGATGTCGCTTCACTGGCCCATGTTGGTATGATCATTGCACTCTTCCTGGGTGATGCAATTGGTCGCCGGTCATTGGTCGGCGGCTCACAGCAGCTCTCGCCCGCTGCCGGCCGCTCACACTGGCTGCCGGCCACTCACGTAGCTCACGGCAGCCCACTGCAGCCCCGCTGCAGCCCACGCCGTTGCCAGCCACTCACAGCAGCCCAGCTCCAGGTTGAGCTGTTGTTCAGCATCTTAGCTGTGGAGGGCAGTGTCACTGGCCCTCATATGTGGGATCCGAACCGGGGCCCTGCTGCTCAGAGCTGGCGCTCCCAAGCGAGCTCTTAACAGCTGAGCCACTCGGCCGGCCCAAGGTAAACCTTTCTTAAGTCAAAGCATCATTGACAAGAATCTGGCTCTTCGGATGGCTCTGCCAGTGTGTTCCAAATTCCACACTTCTTGCTACCTTCAGGCTGTGTGAGCTTAGGCAGGTCACTTTGCCTCTCTGGGTTCTGTAGTGTCCTAGTGTCCTACTGTAGAATGGACGTGAGAATACACGTGCAGTGGCATGTGGTGAGAATCAAATACAGAGTCAGGTATGAAAGCACTTGGCAAAGGAAATGGTGCCAGGCTGGGCAGCTGTTGTCAGGCAGGGGTGGGAAAGCAGAGCTGGGACGTGCGTTCCTGCACTGAGCCAAGAATTCCATGACCCAGTGGCCACCTTGCTGTGACCACTTCCGGACACCTCCAGCCCCCCTGCCTGTCTGGAAGCTGCTGCCATGGGAAAGCCTCTTTCTGTCCTATTCCCTTTCCTGCTCTCTCTTCTTCAGGCCTCTACCCATCCTGAGTTACCAGACGGTGGCCAGTGCAGGAAGGGGAAGGAAAGGGCAGTAGGCTGGAGTCCTCAGCTAGCCCAAGGTGTTGGGTCAGGCTCAAGGGCAGGCCTGTCCTTTAGGGGGCGAGGCCTGCGGGGCTGGCTTGGGAGTATGCCCTCCAGGTTTCAGTGGAAGAATGCAGTGGAAGTTTCTCACCCAGAGGAATCCTGGGGAAGGTAGGGGGAGGCAGGGCCTTAGTGGGCCATAGTAGACTGTTGAACCAAGTTCTTCAAAATGAAGTACTGCCTTTTGCTTTCCTGTACTGCCCTTTGCTGAGTTCAGGTTAGTCCCCCAGCAGGTGCCCAAAGAAATGAGCAAGGTGGCTGCCCTTAGCCCATGTTCAGAAGCTTCCCAGGGCAAAGAAAGGGGCGTGGTGAGCATCCCAACCAGAGGGGTCGTGGAAAGAAGGGACAGGAATGGGCCTCGGCAGGTGGGAGGTTGTGAGTCCCTTCTTTAGCACTGCTATACCCCAGTGCCATCCATGACTTCAGACAATCCTGTACCACCCCCCTCTAAGTTGGAGACCTGTCCACTATAAACGTAGCCCAGGCATAACCCTCAGCTCTCAACCTTGTCGTGGCCATCAGATGGCATGGTGTGTGTGTG